GTTCTGCCTGTGGGGGACAGCATAAAAAATAATCTAAATAAAAGCAAGGGAGCCCACAGTCTTGGGTTCCAATGCCCGCTCCGCCATGTCCAGGCTGGGTGACCAGGCGCACATGATTTTCCTCTCTGTGCCTGTCTCCTTGTCTGTAAAACGGGTGGGGGCGATGATGACTGGGGGCGGGGGGCTGCACGACTGTCCTGAGGATTAGAGATGAATGCACAGACCCCAGCACACATCGGTACACAGCAGGCGCTCAATTAAATGGCACTGTTGGCTCATTCATGACGTCCCCGGTGCCACAGGTCTCAAATTGTACCTGAATGTTCTGATCGGGGTCTCGGTGGCCTTCATCCTGCTGCTCCTCCTCCTCATCTTCCTCCTCATCCGACATCAGCGTCAGGACAGATGCATGAAGTCGGGTGAGTAGGGAACCGGCGGACCCAGGCCACTGGAGGAGGTGTTGCTTAGGGCACCAGCCAAAGGGGAACCAGAGGTGGGTGAGGTCAGCTTAGAAAAACTCCAACATCTCCCAATGAGAAAATCTAAAATGAAGAGATGAAATATGAGTGTACACGGAAGTATTTTAGAGTATTCTTTCGGCTTTTCCAAACTTACAAAATATTTGAAAACACACGCAAGTTTTGTATTTTATGGTTTAGATCTTTCTCCTAAATTCAACATGGCGGTGGGAGGGGATTGTAACCTCTTCAGTTCTTGGACCTTCGCAGATCTTAATGTAACCCTGGGGAAGAGTTCTGGGGTGGGTTGGAGGCTGATTTCCAACTTCCTGCAGTGGCTGCAACATCAGTGCCCAAGGACAGAGGCCGGCAGAAGAGGTGAGACCCCGCCCAAAGAGCCCCCAGCCCAGCCAAGGCCCCTCACTGCCCCTAACACTCCTCCCCCTCCCCCAGCTCCAGCCCAGCTCCCGATGTCCAGGAGGAGAACTTGTGTGAGTGGAGGCGGTCTATCCCAGGGGGAAGAGGCAGGGCCAGACTATGGGTTGGGCAGTGGAGACCGGAGATTGGTTGGAAATGGTTCTGGGCTTGGAGGTGAGAGTTCAAACCTGGTACTGTGTGGCTTTGGCCTCACCACTGACCCTCTTGGGGCCTCTGCTGTATGAGATCTCTGGGAATCTTGGCAAGAGATGGGACCCCCTTGTTCTGTCCCCACCAGATGCTGTCGTGAAAGACACAGAGCCGGAGGACAGCAGACAGCTGGACAGTCAGGTCAGCTCCCTCTGGTCCCAACCAGGGCACCCACGCCTCCTTGTTCCTGTTAGATCCAGTGGGTGACGCACCCTCACGCTACTCACTCCTGGCAGGCTGTCCCTTCGGGAAGCAGGCTGCCTACCCAGTTGCTGCAACCCCACACCTGGCCTCCTAGGCTGGCCTCTGACCACTGAGTTGTTGAATGCTCAGGTCGAGCTGGCAGGGCTAAAGGTTAGGGCTCAACAGTCTTGTGTCCCACACGAAGGGACTAAGTCCTAGGCCTGCAGAGAGGCCCAGAGGGGCGCCTTCTAAAATCCAGAGGGTCCTAGTCTTGCTCAGCCCTCGGCTGTCCCCAGGTTGTGAGCCCCAACGATACACCTCGACTGTTACTTCACTTGGGTGAAGATCAGCTCCTGTGCACACCCCAGGGATTGGATCCAACTCCCCTACAGAGTGCAGTGGAGTCTGACTGTCCCTCCATGCTGGCGGCACCATGCCCTACTCCTCTGTCCAGTCCTGACCCCTCCCCAGCACCAAACTCACACGTTAAGTCACCTGTCACAGGCTGAAAGCTACAGACTGACGCAGAGCCAAGATTCAGAGACCATCCCTGTGTCTCTAGCAGAGAGGACTCTGATGGCTAAGACCTCAAGGAGAGCATCCGTCCTTCCTAGGCCCGACTCCCCGTCTCATGCCTCTCCCATCACTGCAGGCTGCCGCACCTGAAGCCCCCCAGGATGTGACCTACGCCCAGCTGAACCACTCAACCCTCAGACAGGAGACGACTGCAGCCCCTCTCTCCCAGTCGGGGGAGCCCCCCGCAGAGCCCAGCGTGTACGCCACACTCGCCATCCACTAGCCCAGGGGACCCAGACGCCCCACTGCCACCCTGCGCTCCAGGGACTGGATCTGCAGGTGCCGGCCTGTCGTGAACCGCTAGGAGCTTCTGCAGGTCAGCTGCTTCCAGGAACATCCCAGGTATCACGCAGCACTGATCTGCGGTCCCTGGTCCCTACCAAAAACACCCAGCTGACTGCAGACCCAGTGGAGCTGCTATCAAGACCCTGGAGCGAAGCGAGGGCCTACTATCCAGCACCAGGAGGCTGTGAGGACATGGATTCTGCAGGCTTCACAGCCACTTAGCAAAGGACCCCGAGCCCTCACTGTGCAGCTCGCCACTCAGCTAACATCAGAGCCCCAGGAAGGGGACTAGTGCCCAGTCACTGAGAGGTTGCTTAATGCTCAAGTGTTTCTCACTTCCTGAGACAAGCCCCTTCCTTCCTGAAGCAGCTTCTCAAGGCTGAGAGGAGGGAAGCCTGCCTCCCTTGTGACCATGAATGTCTCCAGAAACTCCCCTCGCAGGGGGAGGGGAGCAGGGTTCCCCTACTTGCTCTACCTGGAAATGACTCCTCCTCACCCCCACAAGCAATTTCCTGTGGTTTTGTCTGAAAGAACTTTCCCAGCACTGTTCCGTCCCCCACGGTGATAATGAAGTGGTGTGTAGAGGTGTTTGTTATGACATGGGGTTGGGGGAGGCCCACCATCCGTCCTGCAGGTGGTCCCAAGTAACTGAACAAGGGTACTGGGCCCTCTCTGCACACCGGCAGCAGCACCACAGAAAACAGCTCAAGGAACCAGCCCACGTGTCCCCCTGCAGGAGGGTGTACATTTGGAGGAGGGAGAGGCACAGCAATAAACACCAGTTCTCAAGTGTTCATCTCCTTTTATTATCTGCCTGGGAACCTAGCCAGGGGATGGGTGGGCTCAATCCTCCTCCTCGTCGTCGCCGGCTCCAGCCCCACCCTGGCCCTTCTTGGCGTTCTTCCTCTTCACGCGGCCTGGCCGGCCGCCCCCGTACGGAGAACGCAGGGAGAAGTCGATGTGCTTCTGGGAGTCCAGGCGGACAATGAAGGACGGGATGTTCACCACCTGCTTGCGGACCCTGGAGGGAGGGGCGGCAGGGGAAGAGGATGGGGAAACAGGGCCAGACAGGCCCCTCTCCACCAGTGCTCTGCAGGGCTGATGCTACAGCCGCACTGACCCCGAAGCAACCATGAGAAGGGCATTCCTGACTCCAAGGAGAGCTTTCGGGCACCATCTAACTCACACAGACACGGCCGAGATGAGCTCTACATCCCCACCGTACACAAGTGGGGAGATTTACAAGCACCTGCCAAGCCCAGAGCGCAGGAGGCGAGGCGGCAGCGCCTATGTAAACCCAAGATCTGCTTCTCAAATGTTCTGAACCATGCCAGACCCTGCGCTTCATCATCAGGTATACTTTCAACGTCTTTGAAGTAGCAACGTACAGAAAGGTTTTATGGAAACATTTCTGACGAGAAATGTGAGGATATTACCCACAGGTCCCAGGGTTAATGAAAGGCTGAGGCAGAAGCTGGGTGCACGCAGCATCCCGTGAATGGTGCCCATCTTACAGAAACAGCAAACTGAGCACCCAGATAAAGGTCCAGCTGCCACCTTGAGTACTGGGCCTTGGACCGCACTGAGCTCACCAAGTAAGAGTGACAGTGCAAAAGCACCCTGTGATTGCCAGGGGCACGAACGACCTCATGAGGGACCCACTAGACAGCTGGACCCTCCCAAGCCAGCTGAGGCCCAAGACTTTTCCCTCAACTGGCGACACCAAGTGCTGTTACCTGTCCAGCTACATGCATGGCCTGGCAGAAACCTTCACAAGGTGTACGGCTCCAGCCGCAGTGACCCTTGCGCTGGGCTATGGGGGGGCGAGGCTGCCCCCAGCGCCCCCATGAGCTGTTTGTAGGGGTCAGTCTGTACCCTTGAGGTGAGCTCACACCTTCATCACCTCCGAGGGCTGCACAGAGACAGGGACAGCAGGCTCAGAGAGGGCAAGCATCCAAGGGGAGGGGGCGAGAAGGCTCAGGGAGCCCAGAGCTGGTACCTGATATGGCGCTGGCGGATCAGCACGCGGGCGTGGTGGATGGACTTGGCCAAGCCTAGCTTGAAGACCTGGGTCTGCAGGCGTCTCTCCAAGAAATCCTCAATCTTCAGGCCCAAGATGTAATCCAGCTTCATCTTGCCTTCGTCCAGCACCCCGATGCGGACGAGTCGCCGCAGCAGGGCGTTACCTGACGAGAGGGGAAAGCAGCACTGACTCAGCGTTCTGGCTGATCTCAGACTCCTGGGGGTCAAACCCTCTACCTCCACACCACGCTGGTGCACAGCTGACTCTGATACAGGACACAGCGCGTTAGGACGTGCGCTGCTGTAACTCACGCCACCCAAGGCAGGTCACTAGGATGGAAGAGCTGATTCAGTGTGTGGGCTGAGCGCGGGCTTCCAGTTCAAACCCAGCCACTATGCATTCATGTCGCCCTAACACTCCCCCGAGGCAGCTCACTCTGACTACTCATCTCACCACGCAGGGCAGTGACCACATACGCCTCTACTCACCTAAAAAAACAACCTTCCAGAGTTGTTACGACAATCCCCTTCAAAGGACTTAGCATTCATCTGCAAAAGTCTCAGTGCTGCTGTTCCTAAACGTTACTCTCACAACACAGCACAGCGGCTGAGGGGGAATATTTTGGAGTCAAGAAAGTCCTAAGAATCAAACATGAGGCTAAACCACTTTCTTACTTATAATTAGAACAGAATCAGTACCTAACTTCTAGGCATGAGAGAAGATTGGGCACAAGCCAAGTACACATCACTCATCACCCAGATTTTCTACTAAAAAGACGACAATCTGGAAATAACTGGCCATGTACAGCAGAAAGGAATCCAGATGCCAGCACCTGCCTTTACCAAACAACTACAGGCACAGAGGGCCTTGCCACTTGCCCGTCAGTGTCCAAAGCCCATGACTCCTGACCAATACTCTGGCCTGCTTGGGGATGCTGGAGACAAACGTGCCCCCTAGAGGCCCCTAGGTTCCCACTGACTGTCATCACTGGGCTCCTCATCAGCACAAGATTATCGCTAACACCTTGACAGGGGGATAAAAGCACTACTACCTCCCCTTCACCCCCAGGCAAAGCTTAAAGGAAAGCTGGCCGACTATGATGACAAAGTCTTCCAAGCAGACTTGACATTAGATAGTCTAAATGGAGAAACCTACATGTCTTCCCAACACCCCACTTCAAAATATGCACTGAATAAATGCTGAATGTAAGATATAAGGAAATTCTGCCACTTACAACTTCACATACACACAAAAAAAACTAAGAATAAATTTAACCTAAGAGGTGAACAGCTTGTACACCAGTAAGACATTGATGAAAGAAGTTAAAGACATGAGTAAATGGAAAGCTACTCTGTGCTCACAGATTGGAACAATTAAGATGTCCAAACTACCTAAAGCAATATACAGATTCAATGAATCCCTATCAAAATTCCAATGGCATTTTTCACGAAAAAATAACCCTTAAATTTGTACAGAACCACAAGACTCCAAAGAGCCAAAGCAATCTTGAGAAAGAACAAAGCTGGAGGCTTCATGTGTCCTAATTTCAAACTAAATATTACAAAGCTATAGTAATCACAACAGTTTGTTGGCAACATAAAAACTGATCAAAGATCAAGGGAACAAAATAAAGAGCCCAGAAACAAACCCACATACATTAATAGTCAGTCTATTTACTTACATAAAGGAACCAGGAATATACAAAGATGAAAAAGAACAGCTCAACCAATAAATGGTGCCGGGAAAACTGGAGTCACACGCAAAAGAACGAAACTGGACCCCAACACCTTTCATGGTACACACAAAAAATAACTCAAAATGGATTAAAGACTTGAATGGAAGACCTGAAACCATAAAACCCCCAGAAGAAAAAACACAGACAGTAAACTTAAGTCTTGAAAATGATTCTATGAATGACACTAAAGCAAAGGCAAGAGAAATAAAAATCAACAAGTGGGACCACACCAAACTAAAGCTTCTGCACAGCCAAGAAAAAATTACCAACAAAATGAAAAGGCAACCTACAGAATGGGAGAAAATACTTGCAAATCATGTATCTAATAAGGGGTATACCCAAAATATATAGTAACTCATACAACGCAATAGCAGGAAAAAAAAACCTTCAATTGAAAAATGGGAAGATGATCTGAATAGACATTTTCCCAAAGACATACAGATGGCCAACAGGCACACTAAAAAAGTGCTCAAGGTAACTAGCGCATCAGTAATGTAAATCAAAACCACAGAGCAGGGAGGGTATGGTTCAAAGGCAGAGTGTTTAGCATGCAGGAGGAAGACGTGGATTCAATCCCTAGTACCTCCATTAAAATAGATAAGCCTAATTACCTCTCCCCACAAAAATAAATAAAAATTTAATAAGCTGTTACAAGATACAGAACCATTTACAGCCAGACTCACATCTGTTAGAAACACAAACTATACATGTATCTCTTCCACACCAAAGATACAATGTACGACGTACTAACCAAGTTTACAAATTTTTTTTGGTAAAGTGAAAGTAAGTTTTTTAAGATATACACACTCCATAGACAGAGTGCAGTCTGTATCTCATAAGGAAAAAGACTTAGGAGACACACACTCTACAGGCAGAATGTGGGCCACCTCTGAAAGGTGAGAGAAGCCCAGAGGAGCAGGGCTGTTCAGTTTAAAGTAAAAGTGGATACAGACTCCACAGACAAATGGCCATCTCAGAAGATGAGCATAACAGACAGCAACAGAGTGAGAAAGAGAGCGCGCGACCACTGATTACTTCTGATACACTGGTTCAACTTTTGGTTATGTTCCCTAAGTTTCCTCTGAAGTTCTCATTCCAACCCGGTTCACCTGGACTCTGGAACCTGCCTTCCAGTCCCCCTATGACGGGAGGTCTAACCATCTGCTCATCTGAAACAAGTCATATCAGGTAGTCCCTACAAGCCTTCCTGTGCAGACTAACATACACCAAGAACTTAGAAAAAAGCATTTATAAAATTGCGGCTATTTTAATAGTATTGCTATCTGACAGCCTGAGAGGTCCTACTACAATCTAAGTGATGTCAACTGTTGCTTTCAAAAGTCCTCCATTAATTCTCCACCTCAAAGTAGGAATTTAAGACCTAAGAGTCTAAAAGATGAAAATTTTGTTATGTGTATCTTACCATAATCTTTCTTTCATAAGTTATCATATTATCTGCATACCCTCCAAAATCATCACCTGAAATGTTCTTCCCTGTGAAATGCACAGCTCCTCTCCTGTTCAGGCTTTGACTAAATACCCTTGACTACCTTGCTAAAGCAGGCAAATGTACACATTCAAGCTCCCTCCCTGCTAGAACCATCCCACATTTCAGAAACTTCACCGACTATTCCCACCACTAGAGAACAAGATACGTACACAAGGAGCAGTACCGTTTTTCTATACTATGTACAGATACAGCCAGGTACCCAAGCTTGCTTGGCAATGTTATTTCTAATGAAGAGAAATTGAAGTCCGAGGTTTGGGTAAACCAAAGCCACAGGTAAGGAAATGGACAGGAATCTGGATCCAGGCCCGTTTTCCCACCCCACAAGCTAGCTCCACCTGCCCCATGTAACACCTCTGATCGCTGGACCAGCCCAGAAGTAACAGCAGCAGCAGCAGCTCTGACCCTCAGTCCTTTCCTATGGGCTCACACACGCACCTTCAAACAGACGCCGCGGGTCTTTCTCATCCAGGGTCAGCAACTCCCGGGCAGCCTTGCGGATTTTGGCCAGGGTAAATTTGACCCTCCAAACCTCACGTTTGTTCCGGAGCCCATACTCGCCTGCAAAGGGTGGGCAAACATGCTCAGTCTCACGGACTGATGCAAAAATAGGATTGGTGACTTCAGGGTACAGAAAATCTAAACAACGAAAGGTCTCGAATTTGGGGACGACGAAGGGAGGCACACCAGGGGACTGGAATAGAGTGAGCACGTGGGCGGCCTCACCCACGTGCTAGCTCTCCCCGACCCGGGAAGCAGAAACCTTGCCTTAGCCACTCACCGATCAGTTTCAGTTCTTGGTCGAGGCGGGACTTCTCGAAAGGTCTCCGCGGGGTCACATAGGTTTTGCGACAAACCCAGCTCCGGGCCACCGGCATGATGGCTCCGTTTACCCGCCTGTGCCTGTGCGTGAAAGAGTGGCCTATTAGGACTCTGAGCTACGCCTGCGCAGTCCCATAACCCCGTTAGAACCTCGTGGCTCCCAGAGAAGGTCTCGCGAGAACCGCGAGAAGCTTTTGTAACATTTACCATCCTCACCACTCTCCAACCACTCTCATCTCACCTCCAACCTCTTTACCATACTCATTAAAGCCCGGATGGCCCACAAGACCCAACAACCCACACAAGGACTAAAGAATACTGCACCACACCTCACCTACAACCAGACTCCGGTAACTGAAAAAGAGGCGTACGGCGTCTCCAGCCGCGCTCTTATAGACTCGCCGCCGTCTCGTGACGTCGGCACGCACAACGCACACTGCACCAATCAGAAGAGGCGTTGGCGGGCGGAAAAAGCAGTCGAGACGAGAGGTTGGGCTAGAGCGCCGTACTGAGCGGGTAAGACCCGGTCTGTACCTGACCCGGTCTGTACCAGACAGCGGGTCCGACCATCATCTGGTGAGAAATGAGGGAGTCTTTCTGCCTTCGGGTGGTGACTTGTCCCGTCACCTAGCCTCTGAGTCGCAGGTTAAAATTGGAGTAGTCACTGCCAGCATCACTTGACTTCTCAGCCGGTTACGACTCTGAAAAAAAGATCCCCAGAGGGTTGGAGCTGGGTGAAATCAAAGCTCCCTCCAGGAGAGGCTCCGTTACATCCAGGAATAATGGGGAAAAAAATCATATTTCATATCAAAACGTCAACCCGAAGCATAGTCAGAAGCCTTGTCTACAAACTGAAGATTGAATGCAGAAACTGAGGTTGAAATCGCAGTCATGTGACTTGCCTAAGGATACACAGCTCACCTTTGCATCCTGATATGATTCCGCTTTTGCCCTCCTTGTTTTCTGTAGACAAGGGGAAAAAAAGATCTTGGTAGAAATTCGGCCATACCTGAAATATTTATCACTTAGTGTCTCCGGCTACATCTGGGGTAAGGTACCCTCCCTAAACGTGGGCCTCATTAATTCATTTATGCAACAGATATTTATTGAGTAGTATAAGGAACTTTTCTTCGATGACGTATAGCCATGAATAAAACAACCCCTCTATTCGTGAAGCTTTGAGTCAGCCGAACGGGGTGGGGGTGGGGATGGGTAATTCAGTAGGTCATTTCAGAGTGGTGCTGTGAAGAAAAGAAATTTACTGATAATGACTGAGGGAAAATGGTACTTCAGATAGGATGGTTAGGGAAGCCTCTTTAAGAAAATGACTTAAAAAAAAGTGATTTTTTTTAACTTGAGACCCCTTGATGAAAAGGTTTTGTGCCTCTTAATCAAAAACAGCAGTTTAAAAAAAGCCAAAACAGCAGTTTATATATCCCTTTGGGCTTCCATGGCAGAGGAAAAATGTTCTGAAACCTCTTCCTAAATATTTGGCGCCATTTATCACTTGGAGGAATTTACTCATTTTTTCCCTGATCTCCTTTGTCAGCATCTTCCTCTCAGACAGCCCTTAGGATTATTTCCTCTAGTCCTTATCTCTCTGGAATAATCCCATTACCACAAATGGCTTTATTTATCATTGTTAGATAATGTTTAATGAGCACTTTAAATGTGCTAGGCTTTGGGCTAAACACTTTATATGAGTGTGTGTGTTTAATTCATTCATGTGACCTGAGGTTTCTAGCACTAAAATAGTAACTGGTGGCATTCTGGAATATTTACTATGTATCAGGCACTGCTCTACCTGTGTTAGGGGTGGGGTTAGAGGTCAGTAGTAGAGTGTGTGCTTAGCATATGTGAGGTCCTGGGTTCAATCCCCAATACCTCCATTTAAAAAATTTTTTTGCATATGTTAATTACTTAATCTTCAATGCAAATTTAAGGAGGACTCTCACAGAAATTGCCCTCCCTCATGATAGTACTATTACTGATACTTGTTTAAGGAGTACTGATAATAGTATCAATCCTATTTTATAGAGGCAGATACTGAGACAAAAAGTGGTTACAGAACTTTCCCAAGATTGCACAAAGTGGAAATAAATTAACATCAACCGAATGAGAACAAGCAAAGGCTATTTATTCAGAGTTAGGGAGTCAGTCACCATCACTTGCACTTTGGCAGAGACTCCAAGGCAGGCAGCGGTGTGGGAAAGCTTTATAGCAGAAAAATGGGAGGCTGTTGGCATGGAGAAGCTACACGTGGGCAGACTAGAAGTTGGGCATCCTATGTGATTGGTTTGGGTATATATTTTATTTTCTCTTCTTGGTCCTAAAATTGAAGTGGGAGTGAAAATTAGTGAAGTTGTGAATTACTAATCCAGTCCTGGCCATTTTGGACCAGTTATTTATAGGGATTATTGCTTGGCTTCTTGAGATTGTTACTAGAGATAGCAGTCTGACTTCCTACAAGCCTGCCGTATAGCAGGCTGGCTTCCTGAGCTGTTTTTGTTTGTTTTTTTATTGAAGTATAGTTGATTTACAATATTGTTAGTTTTAGGTGTATAGCAAAGTGATTCAGTTATATATAATGCTTTTTCAGATTATTTTCCATTATAGGTTGTTAGAAGATACTGAATACAGTTTCCTGTGCTATACAGTAAATCCTTGTTTATCTATTTTATATATAGTAGTATGTATCTGTTAATCCCTAATTTATCCCTCCCCAATCTTTATCCCTTGGTAACCATAGGTTTGTTTTCTATGTCTGTGAGTCTGTTTCTGTTATATATAAAAATTCGTTTGTACCATTTTTTAGATTCCACATATAAGTGATACCATATAATATTTGTCTTTCTCTGGGTTACTTCACTTGGTATGATAATCTCTAGGTCCATCCATGTTGCTGCAAATGGCATTGTTTCATTCTTTTTCATCGCTGAGTAATATTCCATTGTATATATATACCACCTCTTCTTTACCCAGTCATCTGTAGATGGACATTTAAGTTGCTTCCATGTCTTGGCTATTGTAAATAGTGCTGCTTTGGACACTGGAGTGCATGTGTCTTTTCCAATTAGAGTTTTCTCTAGATATGTGCCCAGGAATGGGATTGCTGGATCATGTGGTAAGTCTATTTTTATTTTTTTTGAGGAACCTCCATACTGTTTTCCATAGTGGCTGCACCAATTTACATTCCCACCAACAGCGTAGGAGGATTCCCTTCTCTCTACACCCTCTCCAGCATTTACTTGTGGACTTTCTGATGATGGCCGTTCTGTTTATTGCAGACAAGGGGGCTGGCTTTCTGGGCAGGCTGCTGCAGGCTGTGGATCAGAGCCCTCCCCACTGCAAACTCCTATCCTAAAACTTGTAACACTCACTTCCTTCTTAACACGTTATTTTTATTTCTGCCTTTCTATGCATCTGAATGTCCTGTAAAAATCCTTTAAAAAGGAAGTTTCCTGCAGTCGAAGAGTTCCTTGGACTCGGGAGTCAGATACACCAGGTTTTAAATCCCAGCCCTGCTAACTACTAGATGTGTAACCTCAGCAAGTCACTTCCCTTCCTCCAGGCCTCATCCTTATCTGGAGAAGCAGACGCAAATGCCCTCACTTCCCAGGACTGTCCTGAGGATTCAGATCACACACTCCACATCTACTCAACAAGTTTATTGAGACTTCTTGGGACCTAAGCCCTGTAGAAAACAGAGATGAACCAGCTATCACACTCAAGCTCAGGTAACTAGAAAAACAACACAGCCATGAAGTGCTTTGAAATGGGGAGGGACATAAGAAGGATGTAGTGTTTATAACTCTGGAATCAAAAACTAACCACGGAGAGAGGTAGGAGGGCATTCCAGCCTCCCACTCGGAGATGAGCCTGGGACCAGCTAGAAAGGCTCTTCAGAGACTCAGCCCCGGGCCCGTAGGTCTCTGGAGTTCACTGCAGGCTGGCCCACTGCAGGGACGTGTAGACCACCTTACCATCAGGCTGCGGAGAGCACAGGAGCAGCGTCTTCCTGACACTGGTTCCCAGGCGGCCAGCAGAAACCAGGTCCTGGAGTGGGATGGGGTCCCCAGGAGCCCAGCACTGAGCGATGTAGTGAGCATGGAAACGGAGTGGGTCGCCTGGGTGAAGGAGAGAGGCAGGTAGCAGTTTCCAGTGGCAGAGCGCTGGCAGACCCCAGAATGTCCACACATAGATGGGAATGGTTCCAGTGGTCACTACCAATATTTTAAAAGATACCCTTGGACCTTGGAGGGGTGGGAGAGGCAAGTTGTCACAATTGTATGGCATAATCTTAGTTCAAAAAAAGAACAAAAATAACTGAATATATTGTTGCCATGACCTAAGAACCAAGACCACAAGGTCAGTCAAAGCCATGAGTAACTCAAAAGGGTACCATGTAAATATCCAATGAGAAGTGACTTTAACAGACTAGAAGTGAAAAGACAATTTACAGTAGGATGGCATAATAAATAGATGGAATAAGGGAGTCAACAAAATTTTTCTGGAAAGGGCCAGATAATAAATATTTTCTGTTTTGTGGGCCATGTTGCAAATACTCAACTCTGCCACTGTAGCACAACGGCCGCCACAGACTATGTGTAAACAAATGGACACGGCTTTGTTCCAATAAAACTTTATTTAAAGAAGACAGTTGGTGGGCTGGATTTGACCTGGAGCTGTAGTTTGCCTCCAAAGTAGATGAACCTGATCAAGTAGACTAGGACCATGAGTAGGGCACCATACAGAAAATTAAGTAACATGTAATGTAAATCTGAAAGAACAAGGCTTCCAGCAATTCTACTCTTGGGTATTTGTCTGACAAAAATGAAAACACAAATTTGAAAAGACATATGCACCCCTATGTTCATTCCAGCAGTATTTACAATAGCCAAGATATGGAAGCAACCTAAGTGCCCATCAGTAGATGAATGAATAAAGAAGATGTGGTATACACACGCACACACACACACACACACACTCACACACAATGGAATGCTACTCAACCTTAAAAAGAATGAAATCTTGCCACTTGTTATCATCGATGGACCTCTATTAGCATAATAATCTATTATGCTAAGTGAAATGAATTAGAGAAGACAAATACTGTAAGATTTCATTTATATGTGAACCTAAAAACTAAACAAATGAACAAACATAACAGAAACAGATACAGAGGACAAATAGGTGGTTGTCACAGGGGAGGAGGGCAGGGGTAGGAAAGAAATAGATGAAGGAGATTAGGAAGTTCAGACTTTCAGTTACAGAATGAATGAGGCACAGGTATGAAACGTACAGTGTGGGGAATATAGTCAATAATCATGTGATATCTTTGTATGGTGACAAATGGTAACTAGACGTAAGGTGATCATTTTGAAATGTATGCAAATATCAAGTCACTATGTTACATACCAGGAACTAACTTAGTATTAAGGTCAATTATACTTCAAAAATAAACAAAGTCATAGAAAAAGAGATCAGATGTGTGATCTCTTGTGACAAGAGGCAGAGGATGGGGGGAAGGGGGAATTAGACGAAGGTAGTCAAAAGGTACAAACTTCCAGTTATGAGATGAGTAAGTACTAGGGATGTAAT